AGTAATTTTAGAAATTCAGTAGAAAGTTGATTGCTCATATCGCACAAATTTTTAGTCATGAAAGAATCAATCTTGACTTTTTTTGGTATCAACACGTTTTAAATTCGTAGCTTTTTGATTCATTGATTCAATACAAATACCAGAGATAAGCGCTAAATTCTTTTGACGCTGCTTCTGAAATGTTTTATTGATCGTTTTATATTCCAATACATTTAAAAAAAAACTACAATACCATGCTCATACATACAATATTGTTATTAAAATACAGATATGACGGAATCCTTGGTTTTCTACTCTGCTAATGGAAAATTGTTCATGGGACAGGAAATTTTTGAGCTTTTCACATATAATTTCAAAAACTGCACCTCACGATTTGATTTCCACAAACTTTATTTGAAAAATCTATCACAACATGTTTCGCTAGCACAGTAGCTTTTTCAAGTGATTTGAATACTTCAAGTTGTTCTTACATTAATATTTATATACTACAGGTAGCTATAATTGAGACTACCCCAAAAAAATTACCTTAACCTCTACCTAAGGTATCTGTTCAATTATGATCACCTGCTCATTAATGAATCATTTCATTCTGACAGATTTCAGAAACTAGCGAGTCATTCCGCTTCATAAAGGTGGTGAAATGAATGATCCAACAAACTTCCGGCCTATATCATCGCTTCCGACAATGTCAAAAAAGTGAAAAACTGGTTGAAAAGAGAATGCTTGACTTCTTAAGTAATTATATTGGTGATTGACAATGTTTCATGATGAATTTCACTAGTTCGGACTTCCATTTTCTACTATATAAAATGATTTGAAATCCCTGAAACTACTAAAAAAGAAGAATTGAAAATGAATAGCTGAAAATAACAATTATATTAACCAAAATAAACCTGAAATGAAATAATAGTGAAATAAAATACAAGTAAAAATAGAACAATTGAATAAAAATAAAGAAATGAAAAAAGAAAATAAAAAGAAAAAGTGGAGAGATTCCAAGTCACGTTAGTTCACGACGTTTCGATTGTTAGTATCTACAATCGTCTTCGGGTGATGACTGGACTGATTCCTCCGAGAGATGACTATTTATAGGTCATTCGAGTACTTTCACTTATCCCCGCTTTCCATTTTCCGCTTCACTGGTTCCGTGGGAGATGACCGTTTTGGCAGGAGATGGCCATTTTTCGCTTGATGACGGGTTTCCATATGTTGCGTATTTCTACGCTGGCTTGGCTGAATACATTGTTGAATACTATGCGAATCTCAATATGGATTCCAAAGCCATAAAAACACAGGCGATGCAATCTTCTATTTTCTGGAAGATGTATATATTGGTTTGAATAATAAAGAATCTATTGGAGCAGTATTTTGTGATTTCTCAAAAGCGTTCGACTGCGTGAACCATGAAACACTATTATTTAAACTTCAGTGCTATGGCTTTAGAGGATTGTCATATAACTGGCTTTACAGTTATCTAACGCGCAGGAAGCAGTTAGTAAAACTCCAAGGAAATACTTCGCATATTGAGAATAATTCATCAGGTGTACTACAAGGTTCGGTTCTGGGTCTCATCCTTTTCTTGCTTTATCTGAATGATCCGCTAGAAGTATTCAAGTTCTTCCTTATGATTTCAGTTGTAGGAATCTCATTGCTTTTGTAACAGTCGTATATTGTTTTTTTCAATGACTTTATTGGATGAACATCTAAATATTTTGGTAATCCCGTATCACATGGCGTCTTGCGTTCGTAAGGTTTGTTTTTGACTATTTTACGTACAGTTGAGAAAGGAATTTCGGTCAAATCTGATGTTGCTTCAATAGTTTGTTTCCCTCGAAACCAAACTTGAGATTTAGATTCTCATATACATTGAAACATACTCTGTCTTTCAATATTCCAATGCATTCGAATCTTATTCACTGGTATCTTTTTTTCGCAATGTTCGCCATCGCTATTGGTATCACTACACAGGAAAAACTCTGCGCTGTTATCACACTTGTTATTACTATTGGTACTTCTCCAAGGACGCCACATTTCAAACAGGTAACAAAAATTTCAAGTAATTAAAACTGCACCAATATCGAACTTCAACACTCAAATCGCGATCAGTTCCTGAACTGAATATTGAAAATACGACTCTTATAACCATCCTCGCATTCTATTCGTCACCGTAAGATGACTTCAAATTCAATTTTATTATTCTTCAGCCAATCATAAAACTCGGTTAGTAAAAATCATCCAATACGAACGGCCAAGTCTACCTACACGGCTTCATTTCTTTGTATTCGTTTTTTGGCCTTTGAGATCGCCGACAGCTCTAACTATGCACAATACCGGTTACTTCTACTATACCAAGCATCACAATCTCAAATAAGTATGCAATATTAATTATACATACCTGGCTCGATAACATCCATTGCAAAAAAAATAGGATTCACTAATTGCATTCATTTCTTGACTATGAGCGGGTAGTAAACTTGTCACCCGTTTATTAATTTTGAACTACCGACTTTTGAGTCAAATACCCGTCCATGCGGCGCGTTGGTGTATGTATCTTCCAGCTGTGACATTGACAGGATCATCTGTTAATAAATATGATTTATTGGATGTGACTTACAGTACCACATTTTTTATCAACTGAGTTTCAATGACAGTAAAACTGAATTCATCAAAATAAACTTGAGTCCAATAAAAGCAGATAGAAAATGAAGCCTGGGAGCCTAAAACTGGAGCGAACGGCTAAAATTTGACAGGATAACAGAAACCGTAGCATGTCAATCTACCCTTCCTAAACTTGATCGCCCTCCCTAAACACTAACACACTATTGGCAACTACTGAATGGATTCCTAAAACAAATTAATGTGTTTCGGATCTTGTTATAACCACGTATAAGCAAAGGAACAAAAACGCACCCTTAAAGGGTTGAAATACCGTCCGTGAGTAGTAACAAGTACGAAAGGAATGTAGAAGTGAAAAGAGGTTACGGATCTTATTAGGTCTAGATTATTTTCCCACTTCAGTGGGCTGCAGAAACTTATTTCTTGCTTTATTTATCAAATTTGGCTTATTTAGCAGTATTTGCTTAGGCTAGAATAGAGTAATTTATTGATCGTTTTAAATGCAATGTAAATTTACGTCAAGTAGATTTCTTCAAGTCGTTTGCCCGTATCATTTCAAGTTATGGAAAAAGTAGGTATGAAACAGGTTTCATACAAATATCCTTTTATATTCGCAGTTATTTAGGGAATACTATTATAAATCATTATCATTACATATTAGAAAACAAAAGATGAAGTAATTCAAATTGAAGACTTTAGAGTATAATTCAATAATGTTTCTGTAATTTGGTTGTAATACGATGATACTACCCATCCGAAACCACATGGATAGTATATGTGTTCTTTTATGCGGTCTTTGAACGTTCTTCCAGTTTGTCCTATATAAAACATGCAGGTGCTGCTAAGTTCTCATAATGGAAAACCCTAAGTGCTGTGAGTTTACACTCACCCTCCCTACTCTGCAGATACAGTACAAACATTTTTCGGCCCTATTTCAAATTCAACATTTCTCAAAATCCCAATTGAATGTTTCTTTGCTCACTTTGGAAAACTACTCGTACTGTGGTCACCAAATATATCATTTGTCAAACCAAATATGTTCTGTAATAGTTGAAGACTTTGTGTCAATGTCAAATTTTTACTTCCTTTTCCTCCTCGTACTAGACACGTTTCAGATAGTTTTCTATAAAAATAACACAACACAACAAAAAATATTTTTTGAATGTTTCCTACACTAAATTAGTCAATTTCTACTAATTTTGGGGTGATAAAAACGAAAATAACAATGAAAAATTTTTATTAGCTCTGGTTTTTGAGATACACAGTACTTAATCTTAAAGAGTAGTTATACTATACGTGAAAAGTGAAAGTACATAAAACAATATTGTTATGTTTCTTTTAGAATATTTTAAGTACAAAATTAATAAAAAAAACATTATTCTTAGTGTTTTGACAAAT